CACGAGTGCTCGTCAACATGAGCAGCATGCGCGACCAGATCCGCCAGATGTTCAGGAACCTCCTGGGCACCAGGGCGCCACCGTCTTCCTGGGGACCTCGCCCAGGCAGGGGCCCACCCGAAGAGTACTACGACGACCAGGATCGTCACGGCCTGGGTGGGGAGGGATTCGGCCCCTCGTCGTCACACCACCCAGGCCACACGGAGGGCGACCTCGGCAACTCCAATAGCAACGAGTACGTGTTTGCGGAATGCCTGGAAGCACCTAGCTGGCCAGCGCCCAGCAGCGCGCGGGAGCTCGGTGACCTTGGAGACCCCGCAGCAGCGCCGAGAAGGTCACCGACCCCTGGGGCCTCCTGGCAAGCGCCCAGCAGCGCGCCGGCGCTCGGTGACCTTGGACGCTCCTCAGCCGCGCCGAGAAGGTCACCGACCCCTGGGGCCTCCCAGCCAGCGCCCAGCAGCGCGCGGGAGCTCGGTGACCTTGGGCGCTCCTCAGCAGCGCCGAGAAGGTCACCGACCCCTGGGGCCTCCTGGCCAGCGCCCAGCAGCGCGCGGGAGCTCGGTGACCTTGGACGCTCCCCCGCAGCGCCGAGAAGGTCACCGACCCCTGGGGCCTCCCAGCCAGCTCCCAGCAGCGCGCGGGAGCTCGGTGACCTTGGGCGCTCCTCCGCAGCGCCGAGAAGGTCACCGACCCATGGGGCCGCCTGGCCAGCGCCCAGCAGCGCGCGGGAGCTCGGTGACCTTGGAGACCCCGCAGCAGCGCCGAGAGGGTCACCGACCCCTGGGGCCTCCTGGCAAGTGCCCCAAGGTGCGGCCCCACTCCAGGGGGTGGCCGATGAACGCACCGCCCCAGCAGCCGCCCGTGGCTTGAGCACTGCCCTGCTCGCCGATGCTGCGCCCACACCCCTCTGCACTTGCGCAGGTGCCGACCCTGCGCAGCCTCTGGACCTGCCGAGAACCAGCGGCCTGAACGACCCCGAGGCGGACCCGTTTGCAGAGCTAGATGACGAGCTGGACTTTCAGCTGCTCGCCGCGCAGGAGCACGAGCAACTATTGAATGCAACTTGCAATGCGGGAGAACCAGCTAGTCCTTGCTGGCAGGCTGGGGACTCCGCAGTCCCGAGTGCGCTCCATCAGGTGGTTGGCGGTCGGAGCGAGGCGAGTGCGGCAAGGGCCTCGCCGACGCCTCCAGCTTCGACACCACCGCCAAGACCTACAGCGCGCACCACCTACTCGGTCCTTGGCGAGATCGAGCTCATCGCGAAGATGGCGGAGCGCGTGGGCAAAGACGTGCTCAGCGGAAGTGTGCATGGCCGACAGGTAAAGGGCTGGCGTGAAGTGCTGGCCGAGGACCACCTGCGCGGGGCGCCCATGCTCCACAGGTGGACGAAGGACCCAGGGGAAGGTGCAGCCGAGGTGGTAGACGGCACCGTGGAGCGCATCCAGGACCGCTCGGCTTGCCCAGTGGCTTTACTCACAAAGTACCAGGAGGAGTGGGCGCGAGTATGGAACGCTCGTCCCCCTGATCAGCCAGATCAAGTATATCACGCCTTGCACAAGGCCATCACCGCGGCCATTGAGCAAGGTGGCCATGACCATCGACAGCACCTCCTTGAGCCAGAGAAGGTCAGAAAGACATGCAGGTCATTCAAAGCCAAGACTTGCAAGCCAGGAGGCATACATCCACGCCACCTGGGATGGCTCAGCGACGCCAGGCCGCTGACGACGCTGCTGAACATCTTCACAGAAGCAGGCGTCTTCCCCACGGACGAGCAAGAGATGCTCACGGCGCAGTATCTCAAGCCCGCTGGAGGGCGCCGACCCATTGGCCAGTTCAAGAGCCTCTACCGAATATGGGGACGATGTCATAAGCCAGCTCTGCAGAAGTGGCAGCACGCGCTGGACGAGAGGGGGATCTTCAACGCGGGCACTTCGCGCAAGGTCACCGACTGTGCGCGGCGCGCGGCGGTGAGAGCAGAAGATGCTACTGGCGAGGAGAGGGCCTTCCTCATCCTGCTCTGGGACCTGGCCAAGGCTTTCGAGAAAGTCTCGCACAAGATCTTGTGCCGCCTGGGCTGCGCCGAGCAGTTCCCCCTGCATGTGCTGCGCGTGGTCATCGGCGCTTTCCGCTGGAGGCGCGCCCTCATGCTGGACGGCCTGGCGGGTGACAGCTTGCACCCTGAGAATGGCATCGTCGCGGGGTGCTTCTCAGCCACATACGCCCTGCAGGCGTACCTGGTGGACGAGCTGAGGGCCCAGGCGACCGAGCACCCCCTGGTCGGGATCGCGGTCCACGTGGACGACATCAGCCAGGAGGTCGTCGCCGACAATGCGGACGCCTGCGTGGACCTCATGGTGGAGGCGGCGCGCGGGCTCAAGAGTGCCCTGCACGACGAGCTCCAGATGCAGGTTGCCGACGCGAAGGGCACCATCTTGGGCAACAGCGACGTGGTCACCACGGAGGGCATGCGCAGGCTGGCGAGCTTGGGCCTGCCGAAGCCTGAGCACACCACCGCCGCGGCGAGGCCGCCGCGGCGCGGGGCCCGACCCCACCGCCCACCGGCGACGGTGCGCCATCTTGGAGCTGACTTTCGGGCAGGCCGCCGTCGGCACGGAAGCGTCGTGCGCAACATCCACCCTGGACCTGTGCGTGGAAAGCGGTGGAAGGCAGCAAAGAAAAGATTCAATATGGCATTCCGAGCGATGAAGGCATATCGGCAAACCCGCCGCATTTTGCACACGGCCATCCTGCCCATGAAGAAGTGGGGAGGCGAGGTCAGCGGGTTCACGGTCCAGGAGCTCGACGGCATGAGGCGCATCACCAAGCAGGTCTACGGGCACATCCACATGTCGCCAGACGTTTTCGGCGCCATGTACCCCGAGATCGACCCCCTGGGCAAGGCCGCCTTCATGCCCCTGGGCCGCTACTTAGAAGAATGGTGGAGGGCAACCGACGACAGGCATCGCCACGGCAAGGTGCTGCCCGTCACGACGTTGCGCAGGGTCTACGAGCAAGCCCTCCAGGACAACCAGAACGGGGCTCATGAGGCAGGGCCAATAGGAGCAGCGCTGAAGGCAACCGTGGTAGCAGGCTGGTCGGTGGAGAGTGCGACGGTCTTCGTGTCTCCACGGTTTGGCCGCCTTTCGGCCCTCGAGCACGCCCCCAAGAGGATGGAGTACTTCTACCTGCGCGACGTGCTGGACAGGGTCCGTGAGCGCGCCACGGACAGCGTGAGGCGCCGAGAGAACCTGGACGAGGAGGCCCTGCCTGAGGTCTGGTGGGAGGTGATCGCGGCTACCCTTGGCAGCAAGCACCTCACCCCGCTCGAGAAGTGGGCCATCGCCTCCGTCGTGGGGGGCACCTACCTCACGGGCGCCAAGATGGTCGAGTGGGGCTACGACGAGAGCGCGGGCACCTGCAGGCACTGCGGGGTGCGTGATGACTTGGCGCATCGCCTCGGACTGTGTGCGGCCTTTGCTGAGGGCCATGAGAAAGTGACCCCTCCTCCTCCCCGCCGCCAGCAAAGTGAACAGGGGAGCGAAGATAACATCGGCCCTTTCTGTCCCAGGGTGCCTTCGGTGCCCGTCAGGCCCTCGGTGGCCTTGCCCGCGACGCCAGCGAAGATGATCGTGCGAGCGTTCGTAGGAGACGAACCCGTGCCGCTGGATGCTTTTGAATTTGAACCTCACCAGCCTCTCGCGGGTGACGGGTCTGCCTCCACCAGTGCCCTCGAGGAGCTCCGTCGTGGGGGATGGGCGGTGGTGCAGCGGGGGAGGGACGGGATCGTTCGCAAGCTCGTAGGCTCCCTCACCTGTCAGCTCCCTACCTCCGCTCACGCTGCCGAGCTGCAAGCATACTGCAGAGCGGCCGATTATGCCGACGGTAGCCAGCCGTATGTTGGCGACAATGCAGCGGTGTTGGCCGCTCGAGCGCGCGGGTGCGCGTGCACCTCTAGCCCAGCTTGGCGTGATGCTGGGCACTGGCGCCGCGTTCGACGCGGCGACCTCGCGTACAGTGCGGGGGTGAAGGTAAAGTCTCACCAGGACGTGCCGGCCGCCCCTCAGACTGAGGGTGAGTGGCGGATCGTCCTCAACTCGTGGGCCGACGAAGCGGCCAAGGAAGCTCTCAACCTTTGGCCCAGGCGGGCCCAAGACGAGGCCACCCTGGAAGACGCCAGCGCAGAGGCGCGGCGTGGACTGGTAAATCTGGGGCGGGTGCTGGCGTGTGGGCCTGCTCCCAAGGCGGAGTGGGCTCACCTGCCCCCGCGCGTTCGGCCACCGATGGCCGTGAGGCCGTGTTTTCTGCAGCACGAGCTGCACGAGGTGGCCGATGGCCGCTGGCGGTGCGTTCAGTGCTTGCACGGCTTTCGGAGCTGGAAGGCTGGCATGGCCTCAGAATGTGGGCGCGAGGCGCCCAAGAGCTGGAGGAGCCTGCGTGAATTCGCGGGCTCACATGTTTTGTGGGGGGTGGTGATTGGCCCAGGGGCCGCCCACCCGATCAGGGTGACTTTATGCTGTACTGTGTCCATTGCGCACAGTATGCGCAGCAGCATCCCGTCGGCTTGGCCAAGACGTGCCCTGCCAGACGGCCTGGTTTTGTCCTGGACAAAATGGGCAAGGAACGGCGGAGCCGTTTCGACCAGGGCCTCCACCCCAGAACGGGAAGGAAGGAGGTCGTCCTCGAGAGCTGGGCTCTCCAGGATCTTGGTTTCCTCACTCATGGGAGTGAGTCCAGTGCGTAGTGCACCCCCGTAGCTGGCATGATCGGCGTCCCATGGAGGAGCACAAAAATCCTCCTCCTCCTCCTCACCCTCCTGCTGCTCCTCCTCCTCCTCCTCCTCCTCCGCCTCCTCCTCCTGCTCCTCCTCCTCCTCCCTCCCCCTCCTCCTTCCCGTCCTCCTCGTCCTCCCTCCCCGTTCGCCTCTCCTTCCTCCCCGCCCCCTCCTCCTAAATCTGCTACCTGGTCTTCCTGCCCCGTCCGCTGGCAGGGCGCAGGGCATCCTCGGCCATGGCCATCAGCTGGGGGTTGTTGTGGAGCATGCCCATGAACCTCGCCCGCGCCGAGCCGAAGCCAGGACCAGGACAGAAGCGGACCGGGACAACTCGGGGATCTGTGAGATCCCGTGGTTCCGGGAGACTGCCTTTCCCACCCATCCTGTGGTGTTGGGTACTCGTTTTGATGAGACAGCGCCACGCGCCCACTCCTTCCTCCCGCGGCACCCTCCTCCCTCCTCTCTCCTCCCCATCCCTGCTTCTGCCCACCGCATGCAATTTTCGGCACGCCCCTCATAGGTTTCGTGGTCCCACACGGAGCTCCACCTAAGGCATTAGGGGGGGAAGCACGCGGTCCCCCCGCCCATCTCGGCACACCCCTCGCACATGTTGTGGCCCCATGGGGAGCTTCTCTGACAGACCCCAGGGAGGGGGGGTACGCATGCGGTTCCCCCGCCCATTTCGGCACATCCCTCATGCGCCTCGGGGTCCATAAGGAGTTCCGACTAAGGACCCAGGGGGTCCCCCAGGCCCACTTCGGCACACCCCTCGAAGGCTTCGCGGCCCCGGCGGGAGCTCCACCGAAAGCCCCAAGGTGGGGGGGGGAGGGACGCACGCGTCGCGGCCCCATGAGCTGGTGGTCCCCACACGTGGTGGTGAGAGCACCTGGTGGTGAGTTTGGGGCGATTTGGGCAATGGTTTTCGAGCGCTGGCTGGCCCAGGAAACGCAAAACCTCGTGGCGACCGCGTGTCCCCAAACCCGGTGGTGACCCAGAATCATTTCTTTGGGGAATCCGGGTCACCACAGGGTGTCTCACCACCTGGTTCGGAGACCACCAAATGAGGAGCTCCACCGAAGGCCCCCGGGAGGGTAATCATGCATGCAGCCTTCGTGCCCACGTCGGCACACCCCTCGCACGTCTTGTGGCCCCCCAGAAAGGGCTCCACCGCAGACCCCAGAGGCAGCGCCGGCAGGCGCCCCCGCCAACTCGAGCACATCCCTGACACGTGTCGTGGTCCCATCGGAAGGCTCCACCGAAGGCCCCAATGGCAACGCGCGCGTGGGTCCCAAGGCCCGTGCCAGCACACCCAGCGGAAGTTCTGTGGCCCCATCGGGGGCTCCACCGAAGGCCTCAGCGACAGGGCCCGCATGACCAGAGTGGGGGGCCTGCATGCGCCCCCAGGCCCATTCCACCACACCCCTGACACGTTTCGTGGCCCCACAGTGAGCTCCACTGAAAGCGACATTCACAAAAGCGGTACCCACAACATGTGGGCGGGAAATCTGGGCCCCCTCTTTACGTACGATCGCTACCGCTACCCGGGGTGGGTTGGGCCCTGTTGGCGACCGCTACGCGCCAGAGGAAAAAAAGAGCCTCATGTGTCAGGCGCCGCGACCGTTCCAAGGCGCTCCTGGACGCTCTGAGAGCGCTCGGGAACGCTCTGCAGGACTCAACTTATGTTGCTCCCATCGTACTTAAGGACCACATCCCAGAAAGGGTTTCGAGCACCCGGAAAAGTGCCGAAAGAGTGGCGGAACAGCGTCGGACGAGTGTCTCCCAGGGCCCAGCACGTGAAAACCCTCGAGCTTGGGTACCTTCTTGGTGCTCGAAATCCTTTTCTGGCGGTCAAGGCTAAAGTAGGCTGGAACATCATTGAAGGGGCCCTGGGACACACAAATAAACACACACAAATAACAGGATTCTCCATATTTTTCCATATGTTCTGGATTTCTGTCTTCCCTCCCACTTCTCATATTTTCCTATGTTTCCCTGGGAATCGACGATGAACGATTGATTGTGTCTGCGTGTGTTTCCCCCCTCCTGAATCCTAAGACTCCGCCGGGCCCCGCGCCCGCCCGACGCGCCAGCGCCCCCCCCCCCGCTCGTGGAGGGTCGTCCCCGGGGCTGGCCCCTGCCCAGCGTGGCCCGCGGCTCCGTCTCCAGGGGGGCCCCAGATCGGCGGTGGACAAACCTCCCTTTGGTAAACCTCCCCTTAGTGAAAAACGGCCATCCTCCTCCTCCTCATCCTGCTCCCTCTCCTCCTCCTCCTTCTCCTCCTCCTCCTCCTCCTTCTCCTCCTCCCCCTCCTCTCTAATGTTTCTCCCTCTCCTCCGCTTCTTCACTCCCCCCGCGTGCTCCCCGAAGGGATTCCACAACCGCTGGGGGAGCACATAGTCCGACAATTTGGCAGATCGCTCTGGTCACAACGTCCGGCCACATGGACGGTTCCAAAAGTCGGCGGTGGACAAACTTCCCTTTAGTAGACCTCCCCTCAGTGAAAACGGCCTGGGACCGAAACCGACGGAGACCTGGACCCGCAAACAATGACGGCCGCGACGCCCCCTCGCGAACCGAAAGCGGCCAATTCCTTCATCGACGCGTCAGGGTAGGAGGTCTGTCCACCCCCGACCAGAGCTCGGGGGCCCCGAAGTGGTCCGGTGGCAGCGGCGTCCCCAAAGACCCCACCGAGCGGTCCGTCGCCGCACGGCTCTGGAACCCATGCTAGGGAACCGCACTCTATGCACCAGCGCATTTTCCGGCCCTGCGCTGAAACTCTCACAAGAAAGCGGATCCTGGTGCATAAAAGGGTCCTGGTGTATACATGTTGTGGTGTTTCCCTGGGGAAGCGGGGAAAAACTATACACCACACCACCCCGACGTCGTCGCCGACCCTCAAAACATCCTGGGATTGAGCGAGATCCCGCCACTGGTAATGTATATGTTCCAATGTCCGACTTGAGGTCCCAATCGCCCGAGACGTCCTCGGAGAACGACCAGCGTCCTCCCAAAACCGTGCGGTCGCGGTCACCCTGGATCTCCAGTGACTCACCACGTGGTGCGCATGGAGGACAAAACAACTGCAGAAACATAAACTGTTGACGGTCTGCGCTGATTTCTTGGACCTGCGCTGGATCCCCCTCCCTGGCGCGCGGAGCCAACCAGGGGCGGCGCCGGAGTCGCCACCAGGGGGCCCCAACGCAGATCCAAGAAATCCGCGCGGAGCGCCAAACGTTTATATTTATGCAGCTTGTTTCGTCTTCGAGAGCACTCCTCGCGACACCCAGAGGGCTCCCTGGGGCTCCAGAAGGGCGCGAGATGCCGGCGGGCACCACCTGCTGGGCCAGAGAACGCCTCTGGCAGCCTCCGACTCCTGCCCACCTCGTGTCCACGGAGGCGGCAGCGAAGCAGGGCAGGGAAGGGGCGAGGACGCGCCAAGGGGAGGGCGCGGCGGGGCGGGGCAGCGGGGAGGAGAAGGCTCGCGCGACAGATCGGGGGGCTCTGCCTCCCCAGCCAGCTCGAACCAGAGTCGAGGCGCTTGCGAACTGGAGCCGAGGATAGATGGGGCCCACAGCGAAGGCCACCACCATCGGATGCTCTCCTCCGAGTGGTCCTCTCCCGAGGACATCGGGCGGCTGGCAATGGGGGGTGACCCGAATGGGGGGTGAAGAGAAATGCCCCAGTTCATGGGGCACTTTGGGGCCCCTTTTCGGGCACCAGCTGGCCCCCAAAAAGGACCAGGAGGGGTCCATTTGGGGGCCCTTTGCTTCACCCCCAAGTGGGGTCGCCCCCCACTACTGAAGGGGCCCTGGGACACACAAATAAATACACACAAATCAAACGACTCCCCATATTTCCCCAATGTTCTAGGTTCTTGTCTTCCCCTCCACGTCCCACATTTTCGCATATTTCTGGGGAGTCGACGATTATTTGTGTCTCTGTGTTTTTGTTCCCTCCTGAACTCCTACCGCCCGCCCGAGAGCAGGGCGGCGCGCTCGGATCCGGCAGGACGGCGGGCAGCACACGGACACGACGCAGCAAGGCCTGGGCAGTCGCAGGGCGAGCAGCCGGGGAGCGAGCGCCGCGAGCCCGGCCACCCGCGCCGGCAGCGGCGGGGGGCCCCCGAGCACGGCCGGCCGCGGCCCCAGCGCTGCTCGGGATGCGGCCAGGACGGCCCAAGCGAGACCCCGCGCGAGCTGCGAGCGCGCCCAGGAGGGACTCGGTACAGTCGGGCCGCTGGCCCAGGGAGCGATGAATATATATATATATATATATATATATATATAAGGAGCGAGGGCCTTCTGTCCACATCGATCCAGGAAGTCCGCGGGAACACCGGGTGGGCTCGCCGCCAACCAAAGGAGCGGAGCTCAGGCAAACCTGCGGAACGACGGAGCCCTTTCTGAAAAGTAATCGGGGATGGACAGACTTTGGTAAAACGTGCTTTAGTGAAGACGACCTGAGGCCCAAACCTGGCGGGGACAAGCCTGGAACATAACGGCCGCGGCGCCATCTCGAGAACCGAACACGGACAATTCACTACTCGACGTGTCACTGTTGGGGGCTCTGCCCACCCCCGAAGTAAGTGCTCCTCATTCGGCGGCCCGACCGTAGATAGGCCCAGGGCCACCCGAAGAAGGCGAGACGGGGCCCCCTCGGCGGGAGCGCCGGGCTCCGTGGAGCCCGGCGGCCGCGGCGTGCCGCCGTCGCGGCTCGTCGAGGGCGCGAGGCGGGGTGCCCCCGGGCAGCGCCGAGAGACCCCTTTGGGGGGCGCTGGCGGGCACGGCAGCCCAGTGGGGCAGCGCCGCGCGCAGACGTCGCCGCCGGCGCGCCCCCTGGCCCCTGGGAGCGAGTGAGGGCCGCGGACGGCCAGGCCCGCGCCGCCCGCCCCGATGCCCCAGGGGTCGCCCCAGCCGGGCACCCCGATGGCTCGCGCGGCCGCCGCTGCCTGGCGAGCCTCGCGCTGCCGCTGCGCCCCGCGGCCGGAGAGTTGGGCCCGCCGGTCGGCGCAGCGCCGCCGTGCAGGGGTGGGCGAGGCGGGTCGGGAGCTCGTGCCCAAGGCAGCAGCACTACAGGGGCCAAAGGGGCCCACACAAACAAGTAGGCACACATCCCAGGATTCCGCACTATGTTTCCACATGTTCTGGAGTTTCGTCTTCCCCCCACTTCCTATATTTTCGTGTGTATTCATGTGTGTGTCTCTCTCTCTCTCTCTATATATATATATGTATATATCCCTCAGGGTCGACGATGCATTGTGTTTGTGTGTTTCTCCCCTCCTGACAACAAAACTACATGAACAAATTCATGTCGTGCCGTCTTCGGCGCTGGTTTCCGACACCGCGGGGATCGCTCAACCTTGGTCGATCGGCCGCTCTCAAAACACCAATCCTTCAACATCGACCGATTCGGGGGTCGCCGGCGGCGTTCAACGTTGAACGCCAGCGGCGGAGTCGCCGCCGGTCGACACGACGCGAACCCACTAGTACCGTGCACGTTTGGTTGGAGGTCCGCACGGACTTCTCGGATCTGCGCTGGATTCTGCACGGTTTCCCCCGGGGCCGTAGGCGACCCGAGGAGGAGGAGGAGGAGGAGGAGGAGGAGGAGGAGGAGGAGGAGGAGGGAGAGAGGGAGAGATGGAGGAGGAGGAGGAGGAGAGGAGGAGGAGAGGACGGAGGAGGAGGAGATGGAGGAGGAGGAGGAGGAGGAGGAGGAGGAGGAGGAGGAGGAGGACGGAGGAGGAGGAGGAGGAGGATGAGGAGGAAGAGGAGGAGGAGGAGGAGGAGGAGGAGAGGAGGAAGAGGAGGAGGCTTGTTTGCCTGCACGGCACCAAGCTGCCCTCTTATACAGGAGGACGAGTCGCCCAAGCCTTTCGGAGAAACCCTCCACTGGTGCGACCCAAGAGAGCCGCGAGAAGGGCTCTGGACGTTGTAGCTCGTGCAAATGTGGCAGCTTCGATGTTCTCGACCTCTCATTACGCCAGAGAAAAATCTAATCAGTGGATGGTTTGATGGGATCGATGGAGAGATCGATTGACTGAGAAGATCAAAAAGATCGATCATGAGATCGATCATGCATCGTGGGATCGAAAAAAAGATCGACAAAAAGATCGACCGGGTCTCCGGGAACCCGGAACCCACCGAAATCGGCCCGGAATCAATAATCAAGATTCCGGGAACCCGGAACTGGGAACCCGGGAACCTAGCTGGCAACCAAAATCGGCGGAAAACTTTCGCCAAATCTTTCAATTATACCAGAGATAACCCCAATCAGAGGATGGTTTGACAATTAGTGCTACGGATGTTGAGATCGATTGTGATATCGATCGTGGAATTGATAGTGAGGACGATTGTAAGGTCGATCGTGAGACCTGTAGTGATGTCGATTCAGTGAGATCGATAGTGAGATCGATCGTGAGATCGCTCGTGCAATCTATAGTGAGATTGATTGTGAGGTCGATCATGAGATCGATTGAGATCGACAATGAGATCGATCGAGAGGTTGGTAGAATGATCGATGGTGAGACCGATCGATTAGAAGATCGACCAAGAACCCGGGAACCCCACCGCCAACCAAAATCGGCGGGAAACCCGGAACTGGGAACCAGGAACTGGGAACCCGGGTACCCAGCCTGCTACCAAAATCGGCGGGAAACTTCCGCCAAATCTTTCAACTTGGACCCCTTCAATGCAAGCACTGGTTTTGATCAGGGACCGACCGTCCCGGCATTCCTATAGTCCTACCACGAAATGCTCTTAGAACTAAAAAATGTTCTAAAAACAAGAACAATGTTCTTTATGAACCCGTTGTGAGAGAACAAGACAGACTCCGCCAGAATGGTTCTGAGGACATCTCGTGGGAACCACAACAAGTTCTTAGAGAACACTGTTTGGTAGGACTAAGGGCACGCCAGACGCTTCGCCACTGCTTGAATCTGGCAACCCAAAGAGCTGCCGCCTTGGGACTCGGCGCAACCGGTAGCGGATCGAACCGACAGCGCGACCGACAGGCACGCCGACGGGAGTGAAGGGGCCCTGGGACACACAAAGAAACATATACACAAAAACCAGGATCCCCGGTATTTTCCCATACTTTATGGCTTTTTGGCTTCCCCCCCACTTCCCATATTTTCCTACACCCTGCGAAATGCTTAAGAAATCATGGGTTAAGAAATTCATAGTCTCAGAACTTGAATTAAAACCCAAAGATTTCATTAACATCTTAGGAGTTACATTGAAACATTAAGAATAATCGAGATTCTGGCAGAAATTTTAAGTTTTCTTAAGCATCGCCTAAGGTGTACATTTCCCAGGGGATCGACGCTTAATTGCGTCTGTGTGGTTTCCCCTCCCGAGGGCGCCGGAGGCGAGGGCGGCGGGCGGCGGCAGGGCAGCTTCGAGCGGCGGCCGAGCCGAGGCGCACGAGGCCGCCGGCGGCACGGCGGGAGAGCTGCGGAGGTGTACACCCTGCGAAATGCTTAAGAAATCATGGGTTAAGAAACTCAGAGTCTCAGGATTTGAGTAAAAACCCAGAACTTCGATCAAAATCTTGGGATTTACATTGAAACATTAAGAATAATCGAGACTCTCGCCGAAAACTTACGTTTTCTTAAGCATCGCCCAGGGTGTAGGAGAGCCTCAAACAAGACACCACCACCAGCCCTGGCCAGGCCCATCCTGGGCCCTGGGCTGGTGTACAGGGCAGTTTTTAATCCACGAGCTTTCTAAAAGTGTACGATGTTTAATGCATGATGAACTTCTGGATAAATGTGTGCATGAACTCTTCGTTGTGCTTGGTGCTAAACGCCTGCATTTTTATTACATGATCCGCACGCGGAGCATGTATAAGAAACGGCACTGTACAGGCCCTCCCGGCCTAGGCCTAGAGGTCTGTACACCAGTCCAGGGCCCCGGGCCATGGCCGGTGGCGGTGTGTTGTTGGCGTCCCTCCGAGGAGGGACCTGGGCGTGGCCGAACCTGCGCGGCGGGGATCCGCCTGTTTGGAGGCAGGGGAAGCGGCATAAACGGTTTTCTGGAGGGGAGATCTGCCTTCAAACAAAAACCGTTCTTGCAGAGTAGACCACATGTTCTGAAGGTAGATCAACCTTCAAAAAAAACGCTCTTACAGAGTAGACCTATTTTTTGAAGACAGACTTGCCTTCAACAAAAACCGCTCTTACAGAATATACCAATTATTTGAAAATAGACCTGCCTTCTAAAAACCTTCCTAACGGTCCGAACGGATTTCTTGAATTTGCGCTGGGCCCCCCTAGCGGCACCCCTGACGCCGCCTCTGGCGCGCTCTGCGCGCCAGGGAAGGAGGGCCAGCGCAGATCCAAGAAATCAGCGATGCCCGTCAAATGTTTATGGGTATGCCGCTCTTCGCCTTCGATATCTAGGAGGCCCCCCAGATGGGGTCCGAGTAGATGAGGTCGAAGGATCGCGCCGCATCACCGATGCATCGGCGACGTCGGCGAGGAGAGACAGTCGGGCTCCACATCGAGCAGCATCGCCCACGCATCGGTGATGCAGCGTGACCCTCCGACCCCACCTACCCGGACCCCATCTGGGAGGCGTACGCTAGAACCGCCCACCCGCTGGGGCCCCCGAAGCTCGATCCCACAGGCGGTGGTGATGGACAAATCCATGCCCTCGAGACCCGAGCGCGGCCGATCACTCCTGGCAGGTCTTCGCAAGAGGAAAATCCAGAAGGCCTCGCGCGGCAACTTGAGACCCAATGTACGTCGGAATCACCGCGGATGTACGTCGCGTTCACGTCAGCTTGTGTCGGATTTACGTCGGAACGCGTCGGGTTTACGTCGGACTTACGTCGGAGCATCGCCGCACGATCTTCGACTCGCCTCTGACGAGGCGAGCGTGTGGATAAGATAATACAATTGTTGCGTCCCACGCGAGGCCTCCAATATTCCCCTCATAAGTCTTCGTAAGCATGGCGAAAGCTTGTCAAGCCCGATTCAGGGGTCATCAAGCCGGAGTTATTCACATTGAGCCCAGGATTGAGCCAAATTATAAACAAAGTTTACGCGGGATTCAGCGGGATGAGACCGGAAGCGTTGCCTTTCGACCATGGACATACCAGCGCCGATGATGAATCTAACCACCCAGGAATTGCATCCTAAGATAGAGGACCGAACAACTGCATGAAAATAAGCTTTCGGAGGTCAACGCGGATCTCTTGGGTCGCCGCTGCAACCCCCTGGCGGCGCCTGTGGCGCAGCCCCTGGCGCGCTCCGCGCGCCAGAGAAGGGGGCTCGACGTCGATCCAAAATATCCGCGCGTGCCTCCGCACAAATTATGTCATTTCTGTTATCTTCGTCCCAGGCAAGTGACATGGGAACCCTACCCCTGCCGGTCAGAGTTCTGCAAAAAATGGACGGAGCTCAGAAACTGAAGGTATGTCTGCAGCCAGACGAGATCCCAGCGGGGGTGCCCGATGCCCCAGCGCCGATTGGGCCCGCTGGGGCAGGGTTCGCAGGTGGTCGCAGATCCCAGACCCCCGACGTCATGAGCTGTGATAATAAATAACGTCGACCCCCAAAGGTCTCGACACATTCCCCAGGATAGGTCTTTCATCCTGAGCATTTTGTTTACGGCTCTGGGGCCCGGCGAGGGCCCCTAGAGGCCGATTGTATAGAAACCCCTTCCGCCGTGACTTTCATGAGTCGAGGGGGTCTGGACTCGCAGGTGGTCGCAAGCCCTGGGAACTCGTCCCGCGTCATGCGGTTCTCCTCGTGCTCGTCGTTGCCGTCCTGTCCGCTGGGCGAGGCAGCCTTAGGTCGGGCATGTCTCCCTACAGGGGGGATTTGGGGGCGAAAGCTGAACAAAAAACGGACAAATATTGAAACATACCCCAAAAATAGTTCAGAGAACAAATAGTCCCCTGACGATGTCTTGCCAATGTCTGAATATTTGGATGCCCGAAATGGGCACGGAAAGAATGGGTACAATGCCCAACAACAAATGCTGTCCCAAACCAACAGCGGCCGCTGTTGGGCAGGCGGCCTTCTGTCTCGAATGGACACAGGCCGCGGCGGCGTGGACAGCGAGTCCTGTTCAGAATGAACAGGAACTGCTGTTGGGCATCGTGCCCATTCTTTCCGTGCCCACTTCGGGCGTCCAGAGAATATTCCTCCTGCAGGGTACACGCCCGACGTAAAGGCAGGCGGGCTGCAGCGGGCGTGGGGAGCCCCCCGCCAGAGCGGGGGGTGGGGGGGGCTCGGGGGCGGGGCGGCTGCCGGGGCGCCCGCCGATCGAGCGCCGGGCGGCCGCCCCGCAGGGGCGCACGCGCGAGGCGCCCTTTGTACAGTCGGGGCGTTGGCCTAAGGAACCCTAAATAAGGAACGAGGCTCCTTTTTTCCATAAGTTAAACTTCGATTTCCTATCGAAAACATAAGGAACACCTGAGGCAAGCTGTGAAACACTTCAGGAACGTGGAGCCCCTCCCCAACGAAAAAGGTTCCTTCTTCAGGGCCCGGACTGTAGGCGGCGAGCCACGGGGGGGAAGCGAGAGGGACTGCTGAGAAGTTGTCTAAGCCGTCCCCGAAGACAGGACAAAACTTCTCAGAAGGCGCATGGGGCTTCTGAGAAGTCCCGCCGCCTGCTGAGAAGGCCTTCTCCTTCTCAATTCCCCCCCTCGCTCGCCGCCGACTTTGGGGAGACGTAAGACTCGGGTGCGGGGGACTCGGGTTGGCCTAACGGGGGCCATCATAAAAAGGGACGAGGCCCGATCTGAAATTCGGCGAGAACTCCCGCTGCAAACGTCCCACGGACACTGGGCGGTCAAAGTCCAGGACGCGCTTGTCAAACGACTCCGGCAAACCCGAAGTCCGGCTTACTCGAGTCGAACGTTTCCCCAAACCTTTCGGGTCGCGACTAATCCGTAGCACCCCGCAGTTGCGGAGAAGCGTGAATGGGAGGGGCCTGCGAGGTCTTGAATAGAGGAAGAAAGAAACACATACACATTAAACTTTTGGCGCTCCGCGCGGATTTCTCGGATCCGCGCTGTGCCCCCCTCCCTGGCGCGCGGAGCGCGCCAGGGGCGGCGCCGGAGGCCCCGCCGGGGGGCCCAGGCGGCCTGCGAGGCTCTGAAGAGAACCGCCGCAGGCGCAGGAGCCCGCCGCAGGCGCCGATGCTGTTAGCGTCGGAGCAACGCATGTGGGTCGCGGGGTGGGTCGCGGGGTGGGTCGCGGGGCAGGTCGCGGGGTGGGTCGCGGGGTGGGTCGCAGGTGGGTCGCGGGGTGGGTCGCGGGGTGTGTCGCGGGTGGGCTGCGGGCGAGGACGACGGCAGCGCAACAACACAACGAGGTCAACGTCTTCTTTCGTCGTCTCGGCAGTGGCGGACAGGGGCGGGGAGGTCTGGCTCCGGACCTCTGCTTAGTGCGACTGTTTGCAGCACTGGGTCCTACGAGGGGAGACTCCACGTGCTCGAAACAGGCGCCCAAAACAGCCAAGGTAGATCCACTCCATGGGGGGGGGAGGGGGGTGCGAAGGCCCGCGCCGATCGGCAAAAGAATGAATAAGAAAACGCTCACAAGCAGAATCCTCTGGACAGAACGCCACTTCTGCCACGAACCCAGGGGTGATGAACGACACTTCGGCACCGTCACTCTGGCAAACTTTCGGCACTCCGCGCGGATTGCTTGGCTCGGCACTGAACCTCCCTCCCTGACGAGCGAAGCGCGCCGAGGGCGGCGCCGGAGGCGCTGCCGGGGGGGTGGAATCGCCGACCCGAGGAATCCGCGCCGAGCTCCGACAGGTCATGTGTATGCCGTTTGGACTTCTTCGAAGAAAGAGGGAGGTTAGCGAATCTGTGGACGCCCAAAGTGGGCACGGAAAACATGGGCACAATAATGCCCAACAACATATGGTGTCCAAAACCAAGAGCGGCCGCTGTTGGGCAGGCGGCCTTCTGCCTCGAATGGACATAGTCCGCGGCGACGCGGACAGCAAATGCTGTTCAAAATGGACAGGAATCGCTGTTGGTCTTCGTACCCATTCTTTCCGTGCCCATTTCGATCGTGCCGATAATCAACTCGCGTCGCTGCTTTCCCAAGCGCCTCCTGGCGGCGCGTATCGACGAGGGCGCAGGCGGTGGGGCCGAGACCGGCTGCGAGCAGCAGCTACCGTCGAACCCCCTCCGAACATGAGCGGGCAGGGGAAGCCTGGGCAGTGCTTGATGACGACCAAAAGAAAGCACGAGGCTGAGCATCGTTTCACCGATCCCTATCCGCACCCGCGTTGCCTGGGCACCACTGGCCGATTTTACCCCCCTGGATGGGGATGTAGGCTGTTCCCTTCGGATCTCTAAGGGTACATCACCAACTGGTGGTGGGATGGTGGGGGATGGGGATGGGGATGGGGATAGGGATCAGGAAAACAATCTCATCATCAGAGGCACCGTCTTCAGCCGACAAAGGGCGGACGATCTAAGCCTCTCAAGAGAGACGACGACGCCCACGAACTGTGGAAACGAAAAGTTACCGCTACCGCCACTCCCCGGACCTATCCCAGCTTGCCTTCTGACAAAAGTCACGGGGCGAATCCATCCGTGGAGCGGAGGGGAAGATAGCGACATCGGCATCGGTCGATTGTATACGGAGGAAGAGACAGCAGCATAAGCAAGATCCGTCGGAACTCCGCGCGAAATTCTTGGATCGGCGCTGGGCCTCCCTCCCTGGCGCGCGGAGCGTGCCAGGGGCGGCGCCGGAAGCACCGCCAGGGGGCTCCAGCGCCGATCTAAGAAATCCGCGCGGAGCCTCGAGAGTTGATCCGCCCCCCCGGTCATGTCACGATTCGCGCCGACGCCGTCTGGGAAAGGGACGTTCTCAGGCGGTCAAAGGTGGCGCCGGCGCCAATCGTGACGTGACCAGGCTCCCCCCCCCCCCCCCGCAAACCCAACTCTCCTCCGACAAGGTCCCCCACGGCGGCAGCACATCCGAACTCTTCCGACGGCGACACCCAATGCGATCGAGACCGACATGCCGCACGAAGCTCACCGAGGGCGCGGCGCAACGCAACGACGGCACGACGGCCGCGACGCAGCCGAGCCGACCGAACCGACACCCCTGTCCGCCCGCCCCTTGCCGCGGGGGTCCCTGCTGCAGCGCTCGGTCAGCCAGGTGGAGAACCTTGCTCGGGCCCCCCCCCTCGTCTTCTCCCTCTCCGCCCGCTCCTCTACCAATGTACCGCCCCCGCTGCTGGTGAGCATTGATGGTAGTAGCCCTGCACAGATCCTGCAGAACATCCACTGGGGAAGCCAACAGGTACCGATACCGCTACTCCCCGGACCTCTCCCAGGGTGCGTTCTGACCAGAATTTCGAGGCGAATCCAACGGTGGCGACGAGGGCCTCCGAGGAGGCTCAAAAAGGGGAAAACCAGCGGAGGGTCGCCGTATGGGTACTCCAGATTTCGTAATAAAAGGGAGGGCGTCACAACCCTGCCAGACCAGAAGTTTTCGACCCCCCCAGACCATCCATGAAAGGGCGGCACTTTGCCCAGACCCCCCCGAACCCTTCCAGGCAGCTCAAATGTGACCCCCCCGCCAAATGTGACCCCCCCAACTTTCTTATGGAATCCGGAGTACCTTTCCCTCCTCTGAGGCTCCTCGCATGCTGCCTCCTCCAAGCACGCACCCGAAACGATCAACCCACATGCTGAAGGCCAACACGCGAGTCGAAAGTCGGCGACTCCGAAGGGTGTGGTTTGAAAAGGGTGCGGCTTGCAACCGGCACCCTGAAAGGCACCCTGGGGGGCGGGCGAGGACCTCAACCGAGCTCTCCGCCGCGCCCCGAGGCCCGACGATGACAGTGTCGTGCCCCCCAGGCCCCGACGGTGCCGATCGCAAACCGCACCCCGGCTAGGGGGCCACATGCGAGCCCTACCCCTACCCCCCACGATTTCTGAGGGGGAGGGTGGGGTTCCCTTCGCTCGCGGGCTCAAGCGAACCCCACCCTCACGCTCAGCAATCGAAGGGGGGGGGGGGGGGGGCGACAGGGCTCGCCCGTGGCCCCCCCGCCGACGCAACCGTGCCCTCTGCGGTCGCCGAGCAAGGGCTCGAGCGGCTGGGCCCGAGCCGGGCGGCGAGGCCGGTGCACAAACCACATCTCCACCGCCGCCGGCGAGGCCCAGCCTGGGCCCAGGAGCAAACGGGTGTACCCCAGAGCTGGTCTTGGCGTCGCGGCCCTGCGAAAAAGACGTATAGAGGGCTCGCACAGTTCTGCAAGCGCTCGCCACGCACGATGCGTAGACTCGACTAGACAAGGAATTGTGGATGACATCGAGTCTGTAGCCGATCGCCTACTCGACGTACAGTAGGGCCCGACCACCACAAGAAACCCAACCCTGAGACCCAAGGGCGTCCATCGATTCTTGGTGCGGGAACGTCACGCCTTCCCTCGCGAAAACATCGAAACCCTAGAAACCCAGAGCACCCTGGAGACAAGAGTGTTTCTTGGCGTGGACCTCCTCTGTACCCACGGGGCGCCCCTTTCAGCCACTCTGCGGGCGCGACGGCCAAGCAGAGCGGTGCGTTAGAATGCTGTCTATGGGCAGCCTCTGTGAAGCCTAAGCTGTTAGACAGCGTCGCATGGCTCCATATCGCGTCGTTTCAGTGATTCTCGCTCGTGTAGCCTGAGGCGGCAGTGGTCTTGAAAACGACCGACGCCGCGTCAATATGTGGAATCGCGACAGCCTGCGGGAACGCGAGCGTACGCCATCGGTACGCAAAGGGCTGGACACATACCAGAACGGAAACACATCTTAGCACCCCACGGAAAACATGCCGAAAGAGCGGACAACGAGTGTCCACAGCGAAGCGCTGTCCGCACGAGGGGAAGACTGGGTCACACTCGGTGGGCCACCACTGCTCACAGGCAGGCAGGAGCCAACCTTGGTCGCAACGGTGGCGAGCGCGGACGGGGCGTAAGCAGGGGCGCCACTAGGCGTAGGTCGGGCATGCCCCCCGACACGCGGATTCTGGACGAAAGATGGAGCATCGCCAAACAAAAACTCCAAAAAGGACAAAGGAACATTCAAAAATCGTCCCCGGGCTAACCTTTTAACAATTTTTGAACATTCCTCCGGTAGAGGGACATGCCCGACTTAACACGAGGCGAATTGTGCACAAGCAGGCGGGAGACAGACGAGGGCGGGCGGCCGCGGAGGAAGAGGGAGAACCGGGCGGGTGGTGGTGGGGGCTGACCCACACGGCGGGGGGTGAAGAGAAGGGCTCTAAATGGGCCCTTTCTGGCCCCTTCTCGGGCACCAGCTGGCCCCAAAAGGGGCCCTGCAGGGCCCCGTTGGGGCCCTTCTCGTCACCCCCCCCCCTTTGGGCCACCCCCATTGCCACCCGCCCGAACGAAGGGCGGCGCGGTCAGATCCGGCAGGACGGCAGGCAGAACACAGACACGATGCAGTGAGGCTTGGGCAGTCGGAAGGGGCCAGCTGGGGAGCGAGCGCCACAAACCTGGCCACCTACACCAGCAGCGGCGGATGGCCCCTATGCACGGCCGGCAGCGGCCCCGATGTTGCTCAAGATGCGGCCAAGATGGTCCAAGAGACCTCACATGAGTTGCGAGCAAGCCCAGGAGGGACTCGGTAGGCCCAAGACCGCCCACAGTAGGCACCAAGACGCTGCAAATGTTGAATCCAACGACGCCAGGACAACCAACGACCCCGCCACATGGCCTAAGAAGGGTTCAGAGACGCCCAAGGCGACCCGCAGGGATCGACACTTACAGGTCTCCAGAAACGGTTTCCGCAGCAGTCGGGTGAGCACACAGCTACATAGCTTGGCGAAACCAAGGGCGGCAGCGGCGGCCACGCATGCATCTCCGACATGCAGCGCCGAAGGCGTCCACGACAACCACCCAGAGACGCCCCCGACCCACCGAAGGCCCTTGACGACACCCGGTCCTGGGCGTGCGTGTGCCACCGCCGCGCGGACCCCCGGGGACGCCAGGAGCCGGGGACCGTTCCACACGCCTGGCGGGGCCCAGGGAGGGCGACGCCCCACTGGAGCCTGCCTGCGCCAGCGCTCCGCAAGCCTCTGACGACAACGGCACGCCCGGCAGCACCATCCGCTGGGCCCCCACGCAGGTTGGGCAACTGCCAATCGCACGCCTGGGAGCACTCAGGGAGCTCGAGAGCACGTGTCTGACGTGCGTGCCGCCGCTCCCCCGAACCCCCCTCCCCCCTGGGAGCGCGAGACACTTGCTACACCTGCACGCCAAACTGCACCTAAGTTCGGATAGGCATGTCCCCACGCTCCTGCGGGGCACACGGAAGCGGCGACAGCTGCACTCCCGGCAACACCCACGGATGGCGAGGCGATGTCCAAACTGCATCTGCGTGTCCCCCCACTCCGTTGGACCCCTATGGACGCCGCGAAGAGGGACGATGCGGGAGGAAAGGAGAGATAAAATAATGAGACGAGGAAAAGCTCGAGGCGGGAGGAGCAGCGAAATGCTCTCGTAACATTTGTGTTACTTGGGAAGCAAGCGGGATAGCAGGAGGAACGACCAAACGCTCTCATTAACATGAAGGCCCACACGACGGATTGTTGGAAATCCTATCATAGTTTACCCCAGATCCGATTGCGAACAAGACATAAACGCATCGCTCAGAGGTGCCTCAACGTATGATATCTACACCGTGACGCAAGCCCGTGGGAACTTCGAACGGCACGGCTGCAGATGGAAACTGCTAAACTTGGGTCGGGCGTGTCCCCCTACAGGCGGATTTTGGGCGAAAAATGAAAACAAACATTAGAAAAACACTTAAACATAGTCAAACATGCAGGACAAATCGTCTCCAGGCTATTTTTTTGACTATTCTTGCATATTCCTCCTGCAGAGGGACAGGACCGGCTTAACGCTAAACGCCTCGTGCCGAGGAAGACGGTCGACATACGCGGTCCAGGACACAATGACGTCGGAAAGGGGTATGGCAGAAAGGGGCATGGTGCCAATCGTGGAAATGGCGATCCGACCTGCCATGAATGACATCGCCAGATTCTCTTTTACATGACATTAGCACCACAACCCTTTCTACTATTGAGTATCGTTTAACAGATCTCAGTCCCCAGCGGCGTGGCCTGGGCCCCACTGACCGATTTGCCCCCCCAGGTGGGGATATAGGCCGTTCCCTTCGGGCTTCGAGGGGCATATTCCCAACTGGGGAGGTAAGTTGGTGGGGGTCTCGAGGGGGATGGGGATGGGGATGGGGATTGGCTGAACGATACCGAGCCATACCCCTGTCCTACCTCCAGAAACGTATGCTGTCTACACCGTGACGCAAGCCGGTGGGAACTTCGAGCGGCACGGCTGCAGATGGAAACTACTGCACGCCTCGTGTCGGGGAAGCCGGTCGACACGCGCGGTCCAGGACGCGGCAGCTGCAGACCAGTGCATTGCACAACGCCGACCAGCCATAACTGGGGGAGCTGTGGTCCTTACCCCCTGGGGGAACCCATCGCATCGACGATCTCTGGAGAGGGGAGTCGAAATCGATGGGTCCCCCAGGGGGGTAAGGACCACAGCTCCCCCAGTTGTGGCTGGCCTGACAACGTGCGACGTGTGGCCGCGAGCAGGCACGCCGCAGGCCCGATCAGCGCGGTGAGCTCACAACGGATCGCCGCACGGGCACAACATTCGCTCGTCGGAGGCTGGGCGAGGGCTGGCGAATCCTTTGCTGCTGAAACGGTCTTCCCGGAAAAGGAAACAACATTCCCGGAATAAAACTCAGCGCGCTGAATCGTAAACGGGCAGCTTCCCGGAAAGAAAACACGAATTTCCCAGAGCTCCGTTGTAGCAGCCACGGGTTTGCCAGCCTTCGCCTGGCTTCTGAGTTGAGTATGTCGGCTGCATGCCGTAAGGAGCGAGTAGCAAGCATGATGGTAACGATATCGTGCATGCAACATGCAAGTAATGCATCGGAGGCGCTACGTGCTGGACTCGTCTCGTGGGGCATCTGAAGGCTAGCCATCTGACCACAGTGTGCACATAGAAAGCTTGATAGAACGTGTGCACTGCGTGCCTGGCTATACCGCGACAACGTAGAAAGATACACGGACACGCGAATTCGCTTCTGTCTCCGCACATTCGTCCGACAATGGGTCGGGCGCACCACGCGGTACGTTCTGGGCTTCCCAATGCCTCCACTCAAGTGTCATCTCGAAATGAATGCCGTGGGAAATCCGCAAACACCAATCACAACACAAACTCACACTCAAACTATGACAATGTGACCGGCATCATTACATGACTCAACCCGGCGTCAACAACTGAGTGGAGTCGAGTAAGAGAACTATCCGTCGACCATCACACTCACTGTATGGACACTCATCCAAAAAAAGACAATACAACTAAAATCACTGACCCATCTCTAGATCCCTTGAAGGCGGCATGAGACGTTGCGAACGAGGAATCAGACGGATCGTCGTCACTTGCACGAAGCCTTGAAGTACACTGGAGGTCTCAATTGGCTCTGATGATGAGCGCCAACGCTGATGGGCATGATACAGCAGGTAATGATGTTGCTGTTTCAAAAGAGGAGACCAACACAGATTAGTTCATCTGCATCTCCCAAAGCTAAACATCATCTGACGCTGTTTTCGGCCCCTGGGTCCTCTATATCGGCTTATGCGTTTATCACGATCTCTCTTTCCCTCTCTCTGTAAATGCATATCTTCGCTCTCATGTATCGGCGTATCCCTCTGTTCCAACGCACCCCTATATCACATTATTGTGACTCCATCTGCGGATAAACATCGTGGTGCCTCATTTTATCGTTATCTTTCTATTTCTCTCCGTCTCTATCTCTCTCTCTCTCTCTTTATCTCATTACCTCGGTATACGCACACTTGCCTTCTTCAAGATCAAACGGCACGTGCGTGCACAGACACGTACAGACCATGCAGGGGAATGTAAGCAGCACGCCCGAACGACGAGCCAAACGACATGGGCGTGGAAATACCAAATTATGTCGCCATGTGTCCGTACAGACCGATGTGTGAACACGGGTCGATGGTGGGCGGGGCCCCCGAAGATAGGATGGGCCCAAAGATTCCTCGCCCCCCGCCCGAATTGGACAAGGTGGGGGGCACGCGTGCTCACGGCCCACATGAATGCGCTCCTCCTCCGCAACGCTCCACCAACCACTGGTCAGCATAAGCGGGACGCACCGGCGCGAAGCGCAAACGCGCGCATGGCGAGCGCTCTCAAGCAAAGGCAGTGCTATCCTGGGGGGCGGGCGGGCCGAAGCGAGCGAAGAGAAACAGTCGAGCGAGTCATGCACGCACTTCCGCGTGCAAACACAACACAACGTACAATAGCGTAGCACTGGCCACAGCATTGTAAAGCCCAGCATAACAGAACACGCTCACCACACCCAGGCACACAGGCACGAACACCACGCCACACTGTTAGGGGGCAGGACCCATCGGTGGAGGGGGGCGGTATCGAGCACAGTACCATGCGGATTGGGCCTGGACCCCAGATCGTAGGCATACTTTAACATCATCCACTTTTATACTCTGCCAAGTAGACTCATACATGGTGATAATGGGCTGTTTCATAAAATACCTACCGCGTGCATCTACCACCGTGTTCACTTCTATGGTCCTCTCTCAGTCCTCCTCGCCCTTATCTCCTCCTCTCCCTTATCTCCTCCTCTCTCAGTCCTCCTCGCCCTTATCTCCTCCTCTCTCAGTCCTCCTTCGGCCGTCCCCCCGTCGCTAGACCCTCCCCCTCCATGGGGACAGCCTAGACGATGCCAGGGAGAAGAGCTGGAGGACCGGCGGGAGGGCGCGGCACCCGCGCTTTCGTGCCCCTCGGCCGCTCCAACTTCGCATCCTCCTCCGCCACTTCCCAGGCCTCCTCCTCCTCATCCGCCTCCTCATCTTCCCCTTCCTCCTCCTCCTCCTCCTCCTCCTCCTCCTCCTCATCATCATCATCATCTTCCCCTTCCTCCTAATCCTCCTCCTCCTCCTCCTCCTCCTCCTCCTCCTCCTCCCTCCTCCTCCTCCCTCCTCCCTCCTCCTCCTCCTCCTCCTCCTCCTCCTCCTCCTCCTCCTCTCTTCCTCCTCCTTGCGCCCGTGCCCTTGTCCCTCCGTGCTCCGGCCCCCGGCTTCTCTCCACGGCGCGGGCCCCCCGAGGTGCGGACGACTGCTGGGCGTCGCTCGCAAGCCCCCCCCTCCTCCTCCTCCTCCTCCTCCCCTCCTCTCCTCCTCCTCCCTCCTCCTCCTCCTCCTCCTCCTCCTCCTCCTCCTCCTCCTCCTCTCCTCCTCCTACCTCCTCCTCCTCCTCCCCTCCTCATCCTCCTCATCCTTTTCTCCTCCTCCCCCCCCTTCTCCTCCTCCTCCTCCTCCTCCTCCTCCTCCTCCTCCTCCTCCTCCTCCTCCTCCTTCTCCTCCCATCCTCCTCCTCCTCCACCTCCTCCCTCCTTTTCCGACCTGACCCGACCCAGGCCCTGTCGGCACTGCGCCACAGCTCGGGGGCGCGCAAACGTGGATCGGGGGAGGTGCCCTCCCCCAAATGCGGCCGGTGCCGCCTCGCTCGGCGGCGGAGCTCCGCGACTTCCCGCGGAAGCGGGAGCAGCCGCTAGTCCACGCCCCCATTGATCCATGTTTGCGATCGCCTGGGCAGCTAACCTGACCCATGAAAGCTCACGCGACCAACGGCTCGACGGCACCAGTGTGTCGCGCGCGTGCGCGCTGTAGCAACTGATGCGCCAGAGGGGAGCTACATAGCAACATGCAAGGCAAAAGTGCCAACTGTATCACCAATACCTCTTCGTTTACAATGCAGATTGCGGCTGGCGCTGTAGCGACAGCCACAAAAGAGAGAAGAAAGGTTGCCTTTTCGGGCCCTCAAGGCCCCACTTTGGGGCCCGAAAGGGACCCTTCAGGGGCCCTGAAGAGCCTCGCGTCTGCAACCCTCGCTGCCCCCCCCCATTCTCGCACCCCCCCGCGACGCCCAAGTCTGGACGACTTCCTCTTTCCCTGGGACTGGCCGTTCGTTTCAGGCAGTTGTTTGACGGCCCTGAGGGACCTCACGGGGCCCAAACCTACCAAAACCCGTCCGTCGCGGCTTCTCTCACGATGACAAGGAGGAGGGTACACTCCTGCCCTTGCCCGCTCCTTCACAAACGAAGAACGGTACAACAGAAGTCTGCTCCTCCATCGGGGACGCCTGCCTGCGATGGCACGCCAGGGTATGAACGTCCCAGCCGCCATTGGGCAGGCGCCCCCGATTGCAGACAACCCGTGTCATTCCCCAATAAGAGCTTGCCTCTGTAGGGGTCCAAGCGGATTCATATGGTTAGGTGAGGTGTTTCACCGATTTCCGCGGCCCGCTCGGGTGCCCGGGTGCCCAGGTGCCTGATGGCCCTATAGCCCTATTATAACCCTATAGCCCTATGGCCTTATAGCCCTATAGCCCCATAGCTCTATAGCCCTACATCCCTATATCCCTATAGCTCTGTAGTCCAATTGCCCTATCGCCCTAGAGCCCTAAAACTCTATAGCCCTATAGCCCAATACCCCTATAGCTTATAGCACTATAGCACCATTGCACAATAGCCCTATAGCCCTATAGCCCTACATCCCTGTATCCCTAGAGCCCTATAGCCCAATAGCCCTATCGTCCTAGAGCCCTATAGCTCTAAATGCCTATAGCCCTATAGCCCGATAGCCCCATAGCCCCACATCCACATAGCCCTTTGGCCACATATCCCTTTAGCCCCATAGCCCTCTGGACTCCTAGCCCTATGGCCCTATAGTTCCATAGCCCAAGAGCCCCAAGAGCCCCAGAGCCCCATAGCCCTATAGCCCTACAGCCCTATAGCCTCATTGCCATATAGCCGTATAGCCCCATAGACCTATAGCCATGTGACCCTATCGCCCTATAGTCCCATAGGTCAGTAGCCCCTATAGCCCCATCGCCCTATTGCCCAATAACCCTACAAAGACTTTGATTCGGGCCTTTCCCCGGTATCATATGCACACACAAGTATATGAAATATATGTGTGTATGTGTAAATGTATATGTGTATATCTATGTATATTGACACATGTGTAGATATATACATATACATGTATAATTGTCGTGTACCGTTCTTTGTCTGATAACTCTCGTCCGACCCGTTTCCCCCCCCCCCTCTCTCGTCCGACCCGATCCCCCCCCCCTGCCCTTCCAGATTGTCCGCGGGGCCGTCCCCAAAGTCGCTCAGCTCGGCCTGCGCGCCCGCTCGCGGGGCCGCCTCCTCCTCCCCCCCTCCAGCGCGAGGCGCGCAGGCGCCGGGGAGAGCCCTCCCGATCGTGTCGTCCCCCGCCTCGCGCGAGGCATCTGCCCGCGTCCCAGAGGGGGGGGGGCCAAGAGAGGGGTTCGCAAGCCATGGCCCGATGCACGCAAGGCCAGGGGACTTGCTCAAACAGTAAAGGGGGGGCCACGACATTCGGGGAGACTTCATGGCCCCGACCACAGTAGACCCCCCCTATTCGTCACCTCCCTCTTGGCCGCCCCCGGCCCACCTCCTTGGGGGAGACGTAAGACTCGAAATATGCGGACTCGCGACAATTGGCCTGACGGGGCCGTCAGAAGAACTGCGGGACCTGGTCAGAACTTTTGCGCGAACTCCTGCTGCAAATATCTCAAGAAAACTGGACCGACCAAATTGGCGCCTTGACCGTCAAAACGGTGATGCAATCCAAAGGTGAGCTTTTTAGATTCGGCGTTTCGACATTGGGCGGAGAAGGGGGGAGGGGGGGGGCGCCAGACCTCTGATTAATGCGGCTGTTTGCAGCAGTGCGTCCTCTGGGGGAGAGGCTCCAGCTGCTCGAAACAGACGCCCCAAAACAGCCAAGATCTACTCCATGGGGGGGGGGAGGGAGGTGCGAGGGCCCGCGCCGATCGGCAAAACAACGAATAAACAAACGATCACGAGTCCGGTAACACCAGGTCGCACGTTTCCCCGACTCCTCTCGCTAGGCCCCACAGGAGGCGTTCTGAGGAGGGAGGAGCGAGGAGGAGGGTACCAGGGGGAGGAGCAAAGAGAATGGGGGGGAGGGCGGAGGAGCGAGTAAGAGGGCGAGAGCGAGGAGGGTGAGGATGGCATGGCGAGAACGAGGGGAAGAAACAGGAGGGAGGAGGACTAGGAGGAGGAGGAGGAGGAGGAGGACGACGAGGAGGTGGTGGAGGAGGATGGGGAGGAGGAGGAGGAGGAGGAGAAGGAGGAAGAGGAGGGGAGGAGGAAGAGGAGGAAGCAAAGGAGGATATGAAGGAGGAGCACGAGGAGGCGAAGGAGGACCAGTGTAAACTTAGACGCATTAATGATGTTGCAGTATATCCTCACTCCGAATCCCACAAGCCATTTAGGGCGTGTGTTGTTTAGAGCTTTCATATCTCATCCCCCTCCTTCACCTTCGGGGAGGGGTATACCCCTCCCCCTGGACCTGGATGACGGGGGGGGGCGGCGAGGTGTTAGAG